CTGCTGTGCTGTGTCTGGACTCCTGGCTAAGTCTGAATGCTAAGTCTTCTTCGGATGAACGTTTTCTTCACTGAGTATCTTCTGTTACCAATTTCCTTACTCTGATCTTTGGTCCACCAAACAACATGTTAATACCCATCTGACTCTTGGCAAATGTAAACCCCGCACACCTCTGACTGTAATTGAATTGGCATTTGGTTATAAGCAACCTCAGATGATAATTTAATAGACGCGTGTAGCCTGATCACTGCCTAGGTTTTCTGTATCGTCCAGTATGGTACGATCCACATGAGATTGTTTATACAGAAAGTTAAATTAGTTTCAATCAATCATAATTAAAAAACCATTTCTTCAGTTGCACTCACACATGCCAAATGCTTGACAGCCACACGTGACCTTGACGAAGAGCTGCTGTATGAGAAAGCACATGGATGACAGAATGTTTTCATCATTCTAGAAAGTTCTAAGGGACACTGCTGTTCCAGGCCTACAAAACTGAGCCCCAATGTCGAATACAATCCTTCACAAGGCCCTTCTGTCCAACTTACATTCAGAAGCGTATTTTCTCCCCATGTACACGTCAAATTGTACATCATTTGTTCTCGGGCTCTGTGCTCATGGCCTGTGCTAAGATTCTCTGAATCACACTGTATCATTTCCAAAGACCTGGCATACACGTTAGCTGATCCTCACAACTCCAGGGGAAAGCAGTCAGCGTGGAATTGTTATTTCCACCTCACAGAGAAAACTGAGGCCTCAAGAGTTTATGTGAGCTGCTGAGAGCCTCAATACTACTAAATGGCTAGGCCACACCGTGGTTATTCTAAGCACAAATGAACCCAATGCTTCATTACAACATGTTTCTTCCTGAGTAGAAATTAATTGGTACATTAGCACATTAGCAATAGTATGGTGAAAAAAAAATCAAAAATTACAACGCATAAGAATCCTTTTTTCCCCTCATACTTCTGTTGGTAGTAGTCTGTAACCTTTTTTTTTTTTTGGCCAATGATCAATATTCATTATTTCCCCAACTACTAACAAGTTAAGCATTTTTCATAAGTCTGTTGGCCAATTAATTCATTCTTCTATAAACTGCTTTGTTCACATCTCTTATTTTTTCTATTAATGTTTGTTATATTCTTGTCT